CTTGGCATATGTTGTTCAGCAGGTGTGCTTGTTCGTGATTGATCCCTGCGAGCCTCACCTTGTGTTGATCAAGCGCATTCTCCGCTACATCAAGGGCTCCCTCTTCGCCGATCTTCACCTGGGCACTAGACCCATCGGCCAGCTTACCGCCTACTCCGACGCTGGCTGGGCAGGTTGCCCCGACACACGCCGCTCCACCTCCGGCTTCTGCGTCTTCCTCGACGACAATCTGGTGTCCTAGTCCAAGCGCCAGACTACGGTGTCCCACTCCAGTGCCGAGGCAAAGTACCGTGTTGTGGCCCATGTGGTGGCCAAGTGCTGCTGGCTGCAACAACTCCTCTAGGAGCTGCACGTCTCGGTTCACTTGGTGACGATCGTGTACTGCGACAATGTCAGCGTTGTCTATATGACCACCAACCCCGTCCATCATTGTCGTACCAAGCATATCGAGATCGACATCCACTTCGTCCACGAGAAGGTTGCTCTGGGACAAGTTCACGTTCTCCATGTCCCTTCGGCACACCAGTTCGCCGACATCATGACCAATGGTCTCCCCGTACAGTTGTTTTCGGATTTTCGGACCAGTCTATGCGTTCGTGATCCTCCCGCTACGACTGCGGGCGGGTATTAGGCTTATTTATATCTAGCGTGGCACCCCCCCCCCGCCACAATAGAAGTGTGGAGATTCTCCCAAACTTCTCTACCTGTCTACAAGCCCACATCCACGTCGGCACCACAGTGGCATGAGCAGTCCCGCCGAGTGGAGGTGCTCCGACTTGTAGCGCTGACAAGTGGCACAGATGCGGATGTATTCCTGCATCGTGCGGCAAAGGTTAGGGGAATGAAAGTCCCGACGCAGCCATGCAGGGTGCGTTGCACGCCCTCATGGCCGTCATCATGGACGGCGAGCAGGGGCGACATCAAGGCGATGTAGAGGCGGGAGTCGTACGCCACCATGCCGTCGATGACAGACGACGGCACGGCGTGCTAGCCCGCAGCTATCTCGTCCCAAAGGGCCACCAGGGCCGCATCCGAGGCCTGTGCTTGGCAGAGGCGCTCGATGAAGTCGAAGCGGGGGCCCGAGATGGCAAGAAGAGCACCGTCTTCCATGTCCCGACAGGATAGGGCATTAGTGACGGTGTTTGTGGCACCGGGCTTGTATTCGACAGCAAAGTGGAACCCCAGCAGCTTGCCCACCCAATGATGTTGCGGGATCGTAGCCAGGCGTTGATAAGGAGGAATTTCAAACTATAATAGTTAGTTCTCACAAGGAAGCGATGACCCTAGAGATACGACCTCCAGTGGCGTATGGCGTGGACGATCCCGATTAGTTCGCACTCATACGCGGCTAGGGAGCGGTGGCGGGGCACGACAGGGCAGCTGAAGAAGGCGACGGGGTGCTTGTCCTGGATGAGTACTACCTCAAACCCATGGGAGGACGCGTCGCACTCCATGACGAAGGGTTGGCCGAAATCGGGGAGGACCAGCACCGGCGCCGTTGTGATTGCCGTCTTCAACGCCTCAAAAGCTTCGGTGACGGCATCGATCCACACGAAACCGTCCTTGCATAGGAGCGGCGATGGTGTCGTAGTCACACAAACTTGCGGTAGTGTCCCGACAGGTCGAGGAACCCCGGGACTACGCGCGCCGAGCGAGGGAAGGGCCAGTCACGCATGGCTTGGACCTTGGCCGGATCCATGGCCACGCCGTACGCCGAAATGATGTGGCCCAAGTACGCGATGGAGGTGACGCCGAACGCGCACTTGGACTGCTTGACGAAGACGTGGTGCTAGCGTAAGGTACCGAGGACAGCGCGGATGTGGCAAAGATGATCGGCCCACAAGTTGCTGAAGATGAGGATGTTGTCGAAAAAGACAAGAACGAACCGGCATAGGAATGGGCGCAGGACGTCGTTCATGAGAGCCTGGAAGGTTGCCAGCGCATTGCACAGGCCAAATTGCATGACGAGGAACTCGTAGAGGCCATTGTGGGTGCGAAACGCCGTCTTGTCCACATCCACCGAGTTCATGCGCACCTGATGGTAGCCCAAGTGGAAATTGAGCTTCGTGAAGAACTTGGCGTCGTGCAGCTCATCTAGGAGCTCATCGACGACAAGGATCGGGAAGGCGTCCTTCACCGTGATGGCATTGAGGGCCCTGTAGTTGACACAGAAGCGCCATGAGCCATCGGCCTTCTTGACGAGGAGCACCGGTGAGAAGGCGGACGAATTGCAGCGGATCTAGCCCTGGTCCAGCATGGTGGTGCACTGACGCTCTAGTTTGTCCTTATGGGTCGCTGGATAGCGGTAGGGTCTGACGGCAACCCGCTGTGCCTCCTAGACCAAGGTGATGTTGTGGTCGTGGAAGCACGGCGGTGGGAGACAGTGGGGCACATCGAAGATGGAGGAGAACTCGGTGAGCAAAGCCTCCAGGAGGTTATCACCGGTGAAGAGCTGGAGGGCCAGGTTAGGCGGACCCGCGACATCGCGCCAGCTCACGCAGTGATCCCGGCGCCAGAAGGACATGGCGAGGGCGCCGAAATCGCATAGGATGGGCCCCAACGAGGCAAAGCCACTGGGTGCCCAGGACGACGTCGTAGCCAGCAAGAGGAAGAGCGAACAGGTCCGCCTGGAAGGCCTCGCCGGCGATGGAGAAGGTTGTCCGGTGGAACACGCACAGGCAGGGGACGCGCTCACCATTGGCCACGGTCACCTTCATGGCGCCATGGTGTTCCAGCTAGAGGGAGGTGCCCCATACCGCCTCCTCGGAGATGAAATTGTGGGTCGAGCCCATGTCGAGGAAAGCGAGCAGGGTGCCGCCACCGAGCTGGATGTGCGCATCTGCATGGTCTCACTCATGCAGACCCCAGCGATGGTGTGAAGGGAAATGTGCGAAACCCCCTCCACCACTGTGCCGTCGACCGGAGTCTCCTCGTCCGCGCTATCTAGGAGGAAGAGGCGCTGGCACATCTTGTGATGGCCACGCTCAAACTTCTCGTTTACAATTGTAACAGAGGCTAAGGCGGCGCCGTTCCTCCATCTCGGCCTAGGACAGACGCTTGACCGAGCAGCCCTCCACAGTGACCGTCGCCGGTGCTAGTGGTGCGGTGTTGGGTGTCGTTGGTGCAGTGTAGGGTGCCGACAGGGCCAAGCGCGGTTGCGGCGCCGGCAACAAGCCACGGCCCTAACCGCGCGGTGCTGGTGGAGGCGCGTTGACAACCGTGCACTGATCTCGGAGCTCGAGCCTGCGGGCTAGGCTCATCGCGGCGGCAAAGGATTGCGGATTGTGGACTTCTTCATCGAGGCTGAGGGGCGGCAGGAGGCCGGCGGTGAAGAGTTGTACCTGCTAGGCGTCGGTAAGGGTGCCCGCATGAGGTAGCAGTGCCTCGAAGCGGTCTTAGTACTCGAGAACGGAGCCCGTGCACCTGCACTCCGCCAACACGCCGAGGGAATTGGAGCGTAGGGGTGGACCATAGCAGAGGTGAAAGAGCTCGTTGAAGCGCCGCCACGACGGCATATCCTCGTCCTATTGGACTTGGATATACCACAATTGCGCCCCCTCCTCCAGGTTGTACAACGCCATCCACACCTCCATGATGCGCTATTGATAAAAGTAGGAATCGCAACGATTGATGAAGGCGAGGGGATTGGACTTGCCGTCAAACTTCAGAAAGTCCATCTTCTGGAAACGTGGGGGATGATCGTTGTGGTGCTCGCCCAACGCGGGCTTCGCGTCCGATGACGATGATTGTGGGCGCGACGCATCCAGGCGTTGGATCGCATGGAAGTTGCTTTCGACGGCGGTCTGCAAGGATTTGAGGGTCTCCGTGAGGGAGGCGAGCGCGGCCTTCACGTCGTCGTTGTTGGAGCCATTGTCACCCATGGTGGACATGCGGTGCGGGGTGGGCAGGGCGAAAGCGGAGCGTGGTGGCGACGATGGTGCGGTGGGCGGCTACAGCGAGTAACGCCTGGAACATAATACCAGGTTATAAAGGGTGTCAAGGTCGTAGGTCGGTCGACCGCGACTACGGAGTTCGTAGCCCCGATCGTTAGGGTTGTGGCGAGGTTTTACCCCTCGATGCCCTATTTTGGAGAAGAGGAAGACTAAGGAAGGAGATAACTGATATTGCTTAAGAGTCTGGTCACACGGTTACAACAAGTAAATAGGGCTTTCCCTCTAACAACCTCAGAAGGAAACAGCTACAATTAAGACCTAGATTGGCCACACTAACAAACTGATCATGTAGACGCGATGACCGCGTGCGCTACGGCGCTGGTGGCGCGAGTGGCACTGCGTTCGCAGCCCTGGGCGCGTCTCTGGCACGGGTCCGGTGCGTGTAGTGATGGCCCCACATGATACTTTGTAGGGACTTTGGACAGCTTTCTTGGCAATCTAAAGCGATTGGATCTAATTCATGTCTAACCGAATTAGCTCATGTATCATAACATAGTCAACTACTATACGCAGCAAACTGAGATTGAAAGATGGAGTAGGTTCATTCGTCCCATTCCTCCAAAACTTCCCAAGAACCTCTAACCAAATACCAAAAAAACCCTGCCAAACAAACTTCTTAATGCATCAACAATCTCCTCCCTCTAACAAATTCTTTTAGTGGATCAAATCATTGCCTTCCCATAGTATCGATTCGCAACATCAAATGTGCAATGTAACCAAGCAACATGTGAAGCACAGATATTCAACTAGTATCTTTATAAAATGCTCAGTTCTTTCCCAACCATTTAAAAAAAAATTGTGTGCAGTTGCGTTTTGTTCCTGCACAACACACTTCACCTACTGCTGGACTGGAAACAAACATTCCTGTTCATATGTAAAAGTTACCAGCAATAAGAGCAATCTACAGTTCTACATAACTCCATTTTCCAGCAGGCAAACGAATCTAGGTGGCACTGGTCTTGCCTACTATGATTTATGTTGGTGCTATGAATGCATAGTGACTGCGCATACCATTAATGCCTTGGGGTTACAGAGAGAGGGACAAACCTCTGAACTAAGAAAATTGTGGAAAACAATTATCCTTGGCATCCAGCTGATAACTTCAGGCTTCACCTTCACATTATAATTATAAGGAAATTTGCTGAGAAACAAGAAAATGCTAGATAGGTAGATGCCAAACTGGACCTTTAGTAAGTGTAAACTGAAATTATTTGGAAAAAAAAAAACCTATGCAATTATGTTTCATGACTGAAACAGTGAATCCAACATCATTCATGCCACAAGCTGACAAGTTCTCAAATTATACTGATCTAGCAAATTTTACCAAGAATTCAAGATACTTTTCTCTAGTGACCTGCACAGAATTTCATAAAAAAGAAATAGAAAGGCTAAGACTACCACTACACTTTGTTTCAGTACATTCCTCACACTAGAAGTTGCCATCTTAAATTGCTTCTCTCTTCTAAATCTATTTGATGGTCCCCATTTTTGGCAAAAATTAATAGCTAGACAATGTCCAGAAACTGTATCTGATTAGTGAAGACATTTAGGGTGGATTGCAACAAAATAAGCCAGATGAAAACTATATCGGCCAGTCACTCATGTAAATCATAGCCTAATGGGCTTGTATGAGTCTTCTTAGATTCCTAACTTCTTAATATAACGCTGTGCGTTCAAGAGAAAAAAAAACTATGCCTCACGCATACATAATATTTATGGAGATTATACAGCTTAAGGCATGAATGTGATACCAGAACTTACATATCCAAGGCGAAGAAGACCAGCCTCTGGATCACTATCTGCGTGCACTATATTTGTGATGCATAAAAAAGAAAGTTCAGTGACACACACTCAAAGGGAACCTAAACGAAAGTTGAATACAAGGGAATAAACAGGTAGAGAATTTTATATTACAAAATAGAAACAAAAATAACAGAATGTGTATTATAATGCAAAATAAATGAGAAAAGACACCCAAGCGTGCATATTGGAGTTCAGCAAAATAGGGAGGGGACACATACGTGAATAGCCATCTAGTCGATGGAGAAATGCTAACTGAAGCAAAGATCCTGCATTCATGGAAAAGGAAGCAAAATGAAACTAAAATAAAATTACTGAATTATGTAAGATGTACACAATTTTGTAAAATACTAGCTGGAGTTAAGAAACCAGTATTTGAGGATAAGAGAAGCATTGTGAAACTAGATGCTGAAGCTAATCACATGAAGAACATTAAAAACTACACAGGGCATCGTGCATGCCATGACGCCCAAAGCAACCATGCTTCGTCACGACACCAAGTTCAATGCCTCCTTAAACTGACCTACACTGAAGCCGCATCCACTCCGGCAAACTGTAACTGCTCCGAAGTGAATCTGATGAGGGGTGTAGATGCGTAGAGCCTGAATGGAGTAGAATTTCCGCGATTTACCCTACGCGCCTACGCAAACCACTAATCGCGCACAGATGCGTCAGATTTAATGGGGAAACTGACAGTTCACGGGCACCTGAGCAGCCAGAGAGAAGCATGCTCGACATTCCGCCGCCTCCCCCAACTAGCCCGAGCCACGCTCAGACTCGATCCAGTAAGAAGCCAAGCTGAGACAAGAGAACGCAAACCGAGGGACCGCAGGAGCCGCCGGGCGAAACGAGGGGAGTAGATGGAGGCGCGGTGCGTGCTCACCAAGGATCATGCCGAGTGTGACGAAGGTGACCAGAGGCAGCAGGCGCCGTGCCCGCCACCGCGCCATCCCCGCCGAATCTCGTCGTGCCCGTGACACACGGGTAACGGGTGCCCACTCTGGAGCAGAGCTATGGCGCCTGAGTCCTGACTGCCTTAGAACAACACTCATTTGAGGAGATTTTTTAGCTAGTACTCACTCGTCCAAAAAAAAATTTACAATTCTCGCGTTTCGAGGTTAACTAAAATTATGTAAAAATATTAATAAATATCATTAAATTTATTATAGAATATATTTTTATAATAAATTTGTTTAGAGACATTATTAATAATACTATTTACTATAAACTTGTTCAATATGAACAAATTTAACCGATAGGTTTCTATAATTGTACATCATGTTCTCTTATACTAAAAGTTGGCTTACGCTGAAATGTTATGAGAGAAAAAATACTGTTCCATAACTAAAAAATAGTGTTGAATAAACTCGAGCGAATAGGACAATATTCTTTTATGAACCGAGACAGTATTTGTCAGTGACATAGACCCACTGTCCGATTGGCAGTTTTAAGCTCTATTTGGTTCATCGCCGCACCATGCCACACCACGACGTAGCTTTTGTGCCAGAAGTCAGTCGGCTGTTTGATTGGTTCCTCGAGTTGTGGCGTTGCCCGCCTTTAACACGCACGAATAGTTTATTTTTGTGCCTCAGTTCGCCAAATGTTTGGCGACAAATCCTATGTCGCATCTTTGGCATGGCCACGTCTCGGGCGAGTCGTGCGTAGGCGGGCACCAAACAGGCCCTTAAACCACTCCCTTCGTTTTAAATTATAACACATTTTGATTTCTCAAGTTACATGACTTTTATTATGCACTTATATATTTGTCTAGATACATAACAAAAATAAGGTATCTAAAAAAAATGTCTTATAATTTAAAATTGATAGAGGACATATTTGCTACCGAAAACAATAACACTACATTCTCACCATTTTTCTGTGGCATACCATATCACAACGCCAGCGTGGATCCTAACGAGGTTGAGACGAAGAGACATGCAAAAGTCCATTTTATCCATATCCCTATCCAACTTAACAGTCTGTTTGTCCTCTCATTGGTCGTCGCGTGTGCTCGCTCTCTGTTTCTTCTCTCCCGCAAGGAGTCGAACCAGAGCCAGCCTCGATGTGGATTTGGGCGACGCCACTGTCTTCAACAAGATATTTAAGCACAACGACCGAGGCCCTCCGCCCTCCTGCGTAGCACCAGGCCACGTCTCCTTTTCCCTCCACAAGAAGGTCCTACGGGAAATGAAACAGGCGCCCATATTTTTTTCTACTCCCTTCGTCCTTAAATAACTGTTGTCATTGATGTGCGTGCCATAAGTTTAACTCGATTTATAAAAAATACGTGCAAAATTTGTATCTCGAAACAAATTTATTAAAATCCTAGATTCAAAGATCTTTTCAATGATACTAATTATGTACCATAAATATTAATATTTTTAATATATATTTAGTCAAAGTTGTTTGTCGGAAAATAAAAACGACGTATATTTAGGGACAAAAAGAGTACACCTAGCGAGCCGCCGCCTCCCGGTTCTTCGATCCGCTGGGAAGCTGGTGCATTCATATACTTGAGGATAACGAAGAAACACTCAACCTTATTCAATTATAGCTCTCAAAGACCAGGATAGGTTAGTGAATCAAAACTAGTGAGTGTAGGGAATTCTAACGATCCGAAGCATGAAGTCTCAAGGATAGCTAAGTAAAGATTCAACATCCATGGCCACGGGTGACTGGGAACTTGCACTGTGAAAACTTGCCGCCATGATCCACTTCAAGTTGACCACAAACTTGTTTTCCCACCGCGCCTTATTAGGTAGCATTTGGTTAGAGTCAAGGTAGAGTGGGATGATCCGGTCTCGGTTTTTTTTATGGGATGGATCCATTTTCTGTTTGGTTGAGAAGGGACGGGACCAACCCATTTTATGTTTGGTTGGAGGGATGATAGGATGGAGGACGTATTTGACACCGTTAAACACTGTTATACTGGGACCCACATGTCAATCTCTAAACTAACCTTATCTTTTGTTCTGTTTTATATTAAAAATATTGAGAAAAAAGCTTCTTTCCGCTCGCATCCCCATCGTGCCCTACGCCGCCGCACACAGCGCGTGGCCTCACCGCTGCGCCCCCACGCCGGTAGTGCACCAGCTCGCCGCCGCGGGACATCCCGCCTCCGTTGCAGGCTGCGCGCAACCTCAATGTCGCGCCTCCACACCAGCCGCGAGCGATCTCGCCACCACCAGGTCATGTACGCGAGCACCGCCGCCGCGTCACGGACGCGCGCCCCAAGCGGGAGCTCGCCGGCTCTTCCACGTGTACTAGCTCGCCGGAGCTTCCGCGTCTACACCCTCCACGCCTCCCGCCCGAATTCCCGTGGGGTAGCTCGTCGGCGCTCCGACGCCTTGCGCCCCTGTCTGAATCTGGCCCCGTCCCAGGTGGTTCTGCAGCATCGCCTGCCCGGCGGCGTCGCGCGTCGTGCCGGCCGCTCGGTCTCGCCGCCCGTCCTGCCGCGCCATCCAAGCCGGAGTATCGAGTAGCATGCGTGGAGAGAGGAACCGAGGAAGACGACCAGCGACCATAGAAACAACGCTCGAGAGAGGACGCCCCCATCCCTCCAATTTCTGGGGACTGGGTCATCCATGAATCTACGAGAATATTCCCATCTGGAGGCGATCCTGTCCCCCCTGCCCCTCAACCAAACACCCTTGAAGGTAGGATCATCCCACCCCATCCCACTTCATCCCATCAACCAAACAACACCTTAGTTCATGGATCCAGCATGACAACATCCGTGACTGTGGCGTTCATGTCACCTGCATAGATGGTGCCTAGCTGCTTGGCTAGCTTCCACAACATCCTCGATTGGGATGACTAGGCTAAACGTCACCATGCAGCATGCGCAACAGCTCACGTCGCACAACCCTAATCACCTGCTTGACATTGGAGCAGCGACCGTTCGAGGACAGAGTCGAAGAACCCTTAGTGGACGTGCCTCATGAACTAGAGTGCCACGGGCAGTGTGCCATTGTGTTCCCTTTCCTCGTGCCTCAGCTTCGCTAGCGATTTCACCCCATAGTCAAACATTGAGAGCCCTAGTTTGGTTTTGGCTAATTGATGAAACCTAGTGTACTAACCCTTGTCATCAAGTGTTGTGTATGAGATAGGGTGGTACATACCAAGTGGTGGAGCTAGATGATGGTCATGGTGATAGAGGTGACCAAAAGAGATGATCAAGTGCTCCAACTTGGAAAAGAAGAAAGAGAAAAATAAAAACCAAGGATGATTAAGGCAAAGGTATCAAATAGTTTTTGTGTTGGCACTCAAGACACCATAGAGGGTGTGAGTGTATTTAGGATAGATAGCCGTACTATGAAGAGGGAAAATCATGGTTAAGCGGTTATCAAGTACCACTAGGTGAAGTCATACATGCATATGCATTAGGACCTAGTGTGCTAACAATTAACCATTGAAAAATGCTTGGAAAAATGCTAACTCACGTGCACATGATTTATACATTGTGGTTAGCAACTTGGAAGAAAGGGTGAAGTGGTTGAAGTGAAAGAAAAAGAAAAGGAGGAGGAGTAGAGGGACTGGACCCTGGATTCGGTAGGACCGAACCCTGAAGGGGCGAGTCCGGTCCAGACTCAACCATAGGCCATGGGCGCAGAGTTAGCCCCAGACCCGCCAAGGTGGAGTGATCGGACCCGATCGCTGAGGGTTCGGTTGAGCAGCGGCATTGATGAGTGGGACGCATGGCGATGCAGGGTACTCCAAACTCTACGAGTGAGTCCGGTTAGGTGCACCGAACCCAGTCCACAGTGCCCTAGAGCTCTCGGTGTGAAATTTGCTTCGACCAAATCCTTAGAGAGGCGAGTCCGATCTTCTGGTGAGGACCATGTGTAGTTGCTTCTTAGTGCTCGAGAAGCTCTTTAGATGTGTTTGGACGCACGCGTGAGGAAGCGACTAGACCCAGCTAGGAGAGTCTGGTCTAGAGCAACCTTTGAATGGAGCTAGAGCAGAAAGCTTCACTTTGTAATTGACTAACTAGTTGCTCTAGTATTTTGTAGAGATTTTATTAGGCTATTCACCCCACTCTAGCCATTTAGGACCTTTCAAGTGGTATCAGAGCCATGGCCACCATTTAATTAAGGATTAACAACCTTTGGTGTCAAAAGATGGCTCAAGTTGTGTTCAACCGTGTTGTGGGGCAAACCACCGTTCTTTGATGGCACATCATATGATTATTGGAAGAGAAAGATGAAGATGTATTTGGGTTCAATCAATGACAAGGTGTGTGATGTGATGGAGAATGATTTTGTGATTCTTGATCCCACCAACCTCACCGAGAAGGATCAAGCCAACAAGCAATGCAATACAATGGCTCTCAACACCATCTACAATGCCATTGATTCAAAGGTGTTTGAGCAAATCAAGGATCTTGACAATGCCAATGAACTTTAGAAGAGATTGGAGGAGACCTATGAGAGCACACCGGCGATCAAGAGTGCTAAGTTGTACATCCTCAAGGACAAGTTGACAAGCTTCAAGATGAAGGAAGATGAGAGCATACCGGAGATGTTCTATAGGCTCTAAGTGATTGTGAATGATTTGAAGAGCTTGGGTGAGAAGGTGAATGATGATGATGTCTCTCATCGGTTCTTGATGTGCTTACCTCTAAGATTTGAGACATTGAGGTTGATCATCATAAGAGGATTGAAAGATGTAACCCCTAACCAAGTACTAGTGATGTCATGACACAAGAGACATACCGTATGAAAAGGGAGATGGTTGACCAAGATGAGAAGAATGATGAGAAGAAGAGTGTGGCATTCAAGGCTAGCACATCATCCAATAACAAGAGCAAAGTAAAGAAAGAAGAATCAAGTGAAGATGAGGATGCTAGTGACTTTAATGAAGAAGCTATGGCTCTCTTTGTACGCAAGTTTGATAAATTGATGAAGAAGAAGGGCTATGGTGCAAGAAAGAGAAGAGACAACTATAAGAA